ATCAAAAAACTTAGGCATGAATTAGCTCGAAATGATCGATACAAAAAGACAACCATTCTTTAACTGTACTTTATATAACTGGTCTCCCCTGCATGTGTCTGTGTGCACCTGAGCAGCATTTGAATCATACTAAAACTGTGTTCAAACTGATTTTAGGGATAGAAGTGGGAAACATTCATATTTTCTGACTACTGAATTCTTTCTGGACAACCTGTACCACCGTTTATGTAGATCCAACCCAGTCTCATAAAAAAACGTGTAATAACTACGTTGGTCCACAACGTAGGACGTAGTATTTCTACAAAAACGCCTCTGAAATTGTAAGATCCCTACGTTTTTTTCACCATTAATTCCAATGGCTGGCGTCTATGTCACGTGATCTTCAAATTTCTCCCTGCAGAAAAAAAAACATGGCCGAACTTCGTTTTATTCTCGGTGTAAAATGCCTATTTTAAAGTTAGTTTGGCCATTAAAATGCGTTTTGATGTCATTTGATGCAAGAAATATGAGTTGTTATTTCAGATTATGTGTGCAGTGGATGTACATGATCTTTAGTTTGCTAGTTATTACGAAGATTACTTCAGGAAATTGTGTCTATACAACGTTTTCATTGTCACCAAGGTGGTTGCTAGGGATGCTGCTATCGATATTATTTCTGTTATGTTGTGTAACTGTTTAATGGTGTTATATTTATTGCTACCCCCTTCCCCGTCAATGTATAGTGTTGGTCCACAGCGCAAACGTATTAGTTTAACAAAATCCGATCTAAAATTGTGGCATAGATACGTTATTTTCTCCATTTACTCAACAATAACACATAATTATCCTTGTGTTTATTTATTTGTTTGATTAATAAACACAAGTTGGAGTCCGTCAGGACCGAGGGTCGGAGTAGCTCATTTGCTTTATAGAATATTACACCCGGAAGTAAGTATTCTCTCCGCTTCGCTTGACAAACCCCGTGATAGTCCTCAAGCTCTGTGATTGGAGAGTCCCCTCCCCCACCCCGTCCCCAGAACTACACATGATGGCTATTGTGTTTCGCAACATGTTCTATGGCACGTCTCTACTGGGAGTTGTAGTTTTAAAAGACGTTTTCGTATTTCCCATAATAAGAAGTTGCCAGTATTAAACTGTGTACATCCCTGGAGGTTTAGGGGATAGGAAACACTCACATTTAAAACATATAATTAATAAATGGGTGAAAATTGCTTGTGCCCATAATGGGTAGCATTACCAACATGCCAGCTAAGGTCAGAAGAGCTTTATTTAACAGCGGGTCTTATGTTTGTGACCCCTCCTGTTGTTAATTGATAATGCCTGAAACATGCACTTGTCAAGGTTCAGAGGCACATTTTGCAAATATGGCAGTAGCCATCGATCATCTTAAGATAAGATATACTTTATTGATTCCAAGTTGGAAACATTTGCGTTACATCAGCATGTGTAACAGTTGTAAATATGCAGTGGTGTTTATTTGTAAATCATTTAGTATAATCACCCAAATTATGTGTTTTATATTTAATAATTCTGTGTTCTTTATTTATTGATTGTTCAATACCTGACAAGGCCGGAGATGAAAAACTTTGGTCGCAGGTTCCTCAACAGTGCATTACAAGACATCTATCAATATGTGTGTATACCTCCACCATTAAACTGTCGTATTCTGCACATTTCTTATACTATCTACATACATCTTATATAAGAGTATAATACATATGTATAATATCAGTTAAAATAAGTGCTTCAACATAGTTAACATTGCTGGAGGTATACACAAAGTTTTTCATTCATTGCATAACTACACCATTTGTGTATATGATATGTCAATAAACCTTAGAAAATCTTGAAAGGGATGTGCAAAATAGTCATTATATACAGTCTTTAATTAACTATTAGTAGAGAATAACGAGTAATGAATATACTTTATAGGGATCCTATTAATATCTAATAATACAAATTATGAAATTCAATAACATGCTTTAACCACTAGGTGTCCCTTTATATCAGCTGTGCACCGTTATGGTGTAAATACAGCCTATCTACCAATTGGATCAAATATAAAAGTCAGCCGAATTAGTGTTGATACTGCAAGGAGACGTATTCTGTGAAAAGAAATGTAAGATGTTGTTTAATGGCTGATATATTTATGATCCATGTCACGTTTTCAGTGTTGGCGGCAGTTCCTCATGTTTGTCTAGAAGTCTTCTCATCAGGGCTCTATAAATAGAGAACTACGGCATATATGTAATATTTAATGCAGCCGAACCGTGTATTACAATGCCGTTATGTGATGACTTTCAAAGAGAAAAACAAGCACACTCGGAATAAAGTGTTTTCGGTCTGTTTCCGGTATTTGTTTATAACAATGTGCTGTGAGATGTGAGACTGGAATTGCACAGGGGAAAATAACATATCTATACCACAATTTTAGATGCGGATTTTGTTAAACTAATACGTTTGCGCTGTGGACCAACACTATACATTGACGGGGAAGGGGGTAGCAATAAAGATTACACCATTAAACTGTTACACAACATAACAGAAATAATATCGATAGCAGCGTCACTAGCAACCACCTTGGTAACAATGAAAACGTTGTATCGACACAATCTCCTGAAGTAATCTTCGTAATAACTAGCAAACTAAAGATAATAACTTTAAAATAGGCATTTTACACCGAGAATAAAACGAAGTTCGGCCATGTTTTTTTTTTCTGCAGGGAGAAATTTGAAGATCACGTGACATAAACGCCAGCCTTTGGAATGAATGGTGAAAAAAAACTTAGGGATCTTACAATTTCAGAGGCGTTTTTGTAGAAATACTACGTCCTACGTTGTGGACCAACGTAGTTATCACACGTTTTTTTATGAGACTGGGTTGGCCTGGGGTCAAGTCATTCCTCCTGTTCATTTCCAAATGCCCAAAGTTGTAACTATAAAATTCACCACAAGAATACCAACATGCAGCCAAATGGTGACTTTCTCCTGTAAGTTCAAATAATAATAAGACAATTCAAAAGCTTTGTTCATAAGCCACAGGGACACACAGGAGCTTATAACCTGGATATTGTACTGATTGATGATGGAAGATTCCTTCAACTTATAATGAGCACTGTGTTCCATTTCTCCATACATTGCTTAGGCCACCACAGATAATGGCCCACAGACTCAATGGCCCACGACGTCAGGTTCAATTAAAAGCTGAGCTTAATGATGAGTACACGAGCACTGCAGTAACTAGATTGCTTGAAGAGGAGCAACTGTGAGAAGGAAGGGCATCAGGAGGACAGTCTGGTACTTTAGCTCAGGGTTGTGTGACTGGTATGTGTGTGTGGGTGGTGTGGTGCAATGTGCCTGTGGCATCTGTGTGATGGGACAACCTGAGAGCCTGTTACTTTCTGCATGTGTTTGAATGTTCATTTGTAGTTATTTTCATGTACTTCTTAGACCTGATTTTGTTAATTTAGATTTTCTAAAACATTAGAAGATCAGAATACGGGATAGCGGACTTTATGAGGACAAAAGTGGAGTCAACAGCTGGTGTCAACAGTTGCGTTAGCACATTAACACATTCTAAAATGCTAGACAGCTGTTTGCGCTCAAATTGGCTAAAATGGTGGTTGGAACAATGCCTATCCCCGCTGAAAGGGTAAACAAACTAAAGGAGTTGTTGCCGGGTTTGGCAACCCCCGTGAAATTGTGGCCAGGATGGTCGTAATCTCACCAAATTCACACTGGTGTTAGTTATTGCCCTTGAGTTCAAGCAAACAAAAGCATTTCACTCTTGAAAATGTTATTAACAGATTGCAGAATGGGTACAATACAGTACAGCTCAATACACACAATTGTTAAGGGGATGCAGACCAGAGAAAGACTTTCGTCTTGTTTACATCAGGGTAACCATTTTGAATTCATCATAACATATATGACATACATGACATACAGATAGATTATATTTTCATTTTAGATTCATTTTCAAATCACCATATGACATACATGATATACAGATAGACAGTACTGTTACATCTAGACATTTATGACATACCATATCTACAAACATACAGTACTGTTTGTGAGTACAAAAAGAGTCTAAAAAGAGAGTCTAAAAAGAGAGTATATACATTGGGGGGGGGGGGTGGGAAACTGTATATTGTAGGGGGTTGGGTTTGGATATTTACAGGGGCCAGTTTCGAATTGCAGTCTCCCGTAGGTGCTCTTTTTGAGAGTTTTTGAAGGTGGGTAGTGATTCACATTCCTTTACAGCTGTGGGTAGGGTGTTCCACATTGTTGTGGCATAATTGCGAAACGTGTTTCGTCCCTTGTTTGAGCCAAATCTGGGTTTAACATGATTTGTGGAGCTCCCTCTGGTGTTGTGGTCGTGGTATTCACTGACCTTTGGGAAGTATTTTGACATGTACATGGGTACCTTAGTGGTGTAGTGTATCTTGTAGACCAGGCCCATTGCAAGTTGCTGTACTCTGTCGTCTACTCTAATGGCGCATTTCCACTGCAGCGGGTAGCCCCGTTTAAGCGTCCTTAACCGTCCTCAAGCGGCCAGGCCAGTTTTTGGTGGCCTTTCCATATAGCGTAGCACCGGCTAGCGGGTACTTTTTCCGGCCCCATAAAATCGTGGTTCTATCAGGCCAGGGCCAGGGCTGAACTAGTGACATCAACACTCTCGACTGCTGATTGGTCAGAGAGAATCCTCACAAGATTGCGCGCGAGATCATCCCTAGCGTCGCATATATATCTAGAAGCAAGCTTGCAGCATTTTTATAAACAGCATTTTGTAAACGGAGGAGCTACAAAAATGGCAACGTCGAAGAAAACCACACCGTGGTCGACCGAGGAGGTGACGACGTTCCTTAATCTCATTGGGGATGATAAAATCCAGCGGGAGCTCGACGGAACAACTCGAAATGTGAAAGTGTTCCAGGATTTCTCTGCACAGATGTCCGAACGCGGATTTTCAAGGACTTTCCTGCAGTGTAGGGAAAAACTCAAAAAGATGAAGAGTGAATATCGCCAAGTAAAGGACAACAATAACACGAGTGGTGCGGGTAGGAAACAATGGAAGTGGTTCGACTTGTCGGACCAGATTTACGGCCATAGACCGGCCAACGTTGGGAGGGAGGGAGGCCTGGACTCTGCAACGGCTTTACTGGAGTCCCTGCAAGGTACGCTCATTTCTAACAAAGAAGTCTATTTTATCCTTACATTAATGTTCGACAACCCATGCTTTTATGGAGCCCCGAAGAGCTACATAGCTAGCTAAGGCAGATAGCCTAGGCAGATAGCCTTAGCTAGAGCTATTGTTTGCTAACACCATATGTGCCATTGTTTACGTTCAGTTTTTCTTTTCTATAGTTGTTGTTGCTATTTAGTATTGTGCTGCAGTAGTTTGTGGAATTAACAAGTCATTTTGCTGTTCTAGATGATTACATTGGGACTCGTGAGGAGGAACATTCCCGAACAATGGGTGATGGCAGTGTTCCGTCCACAACATCGTCATCGAATCCAGAACGGACCCCAGCTCGACCACAGACACCAGCCGAAGAACCGACACCAACTCAACCACCAACGCAGAGTGCCATCACGACACCGCAGCGTGTGGTTCTAGGTAAGAAATAGAAATGGCAAAACGACTGGAATTGTGTTTTGTTTTTTTAAACCTTGGATCATCCATCGTCAGTAATTAAAATAAGCTATACCACTGTGTGGAAATGCTCTGTTACAAGTAAAGTCTTAGCTAGTAAGCAGCTAGTACAGTTGTGTGTGACATCCTATCATATACATATATTTATATTCATTATCAACAGGCTGGACATAATGTAATTCACTTTCACAATCATTGTAAACATCTAGGGCCAGAACTTTCTTTAGTTCACCTTACTGTTGTTCTGTTTATACATGTTATTCTTATATCCTTGTGTGACCTGTACCTGTCCTGTTTTTTTTCCTTATTGCTAATTATTATCTTATTGTCACCCAGGCAAGAGGAAACGAGGAGGAGAGGATCGGGCCCAGCAGGAACGGCACCATGAACAGCACATGGCCCAGCAGGAACGGCACTTGGACTGGGCCAAAGCGTCTGCTGAGCGGAGATGGGAGTTGGATGCGGCCTTGAGAAGGGAGGAGGCCGTCTTGAGAAGGGAGGAGGCCGCTCAAGCAGAGACCTTCAACCTAGCCTTCCTGCGCACTCTTGGCGAGGTGCTAGGGGGACTGGGCAGCCGACGTGGCCGCCGACGTGGCCGCCGACGTGGCAGCCGACGTGGCAGCCGACGTGGCAGCCGACGTGGCAGCCGACGTGGCCCGTCTCCTCCGTGATACTTAAAATAACCTTAATAGTTATTGTACATATTATATATTTTTTATCTAGTTAATTTTTAAATGCATCATTTGTACTTTCTTGTTTATTTATTTTCTTTAAAATGTTCATTTTATTTTAATTTTTACAATGCCATGTATATTTATGCTGGCTGCAATACAGTTTTACATTTTTTATTTGTATTGTTTAATGGCATGCCTTTTTGATACAACATTTTTTTTGTATTTTTATACTGCCATCAATAAAGTACTTATTTGACTTATCTTATGTTGATAATGAATTGCACCCAACAGAAAAAAATCAGATTTACATAATCTTGATTTAGAGAAGATATAAACATACATTAATTTATAAAGCAATAACAAACACTATCAGTTAGGAAAAAGCCCATAAGATAAGTTAGTTTTAAGAGATTTAAAGCAAGAAATTGAGTTTGCTAGCTTGAGGTCCTCCTCTAAAACATTATTACATGTTTATTTTGTAATGTACATGATAAATACATAATACATGTAGTAGAAATTGCTCAATTGTAATACCCTCGTTCTACTAGACTCAAACAACACATTCCTTATATATTTCAAAGACGAGAGAACAAAAGAAGAAACCTATAACCCATTCAAGCAAGAAGAAAGATTGAGGTTATATTTTAATATATTATTTTATGTTGTGGATACTTTAGCCTCCATCCATGTTTACAATTGTCCATACTATTTTACACTTGCATTTATGAATATAGTTTTGCTGTGTTTTACACTTTAGTATTTATGTTTATAGTTAGCTTTGATATTCGCTTAATTTATTAGAAAGATTTTCTTTTCATGATCTGATATTTCCTCAAATGTTCTTATTATGGGGCAGTACTTACTGGTGCTTGAAATTCAAATATTTACTAAATATTCAATTCAGATAACAACATTTGTTTAAAACATTTGACAAACACATGAAAAAAAAAAAAGGATTTATTTATGTTCAATACAATGAATACAATATAATGCATATTTAGGTATTCAGGTAGCGCATCAAACCCTCTCTGATGTCAGTGCCCTCCTCCTCTGCACCTTGAGCCACTGCTACCCCAGGCTCTGCTGCTGCTGGTGCATTCCACCCATCATCATAGTCCTCTCCATGACTCTCGCAGAGGTTATGCAGAGCACAGCATGTCAGCACCATGGATTTCACAAGTTTCACATCACAGTCATTTCTTTTCATAAGGCAACGCCACCTTCCCTTCAGTCTACCAATTGCGTTTTCAACCACTACCCGTGCGCTGCAAATGTTCTTGTTGTATACCACATGTTCTGCTGTTAGCCATCCAGTGTCTGGGAAGGGTTTTAAGAGCCAGCTTTGCAAGGGATAGGCATTGTCTCCCAGAATGTAATAGCCAGCATTCACCCCACCAATGTCCCTGGTGCAAGGTGGAAAGTAGTTGCCACGACTGGCCAACTCCCACAATGAGGACAGTCTCAAAACCAGAGCGTCATGCATGCTCCCAGACATTCCTGCAAACACATTCCAGAAATGCCCCTTTCCATCTACAACTCCTTGAAGGATGATGGAGTGCCAGCTTTTCCGGTTGAAATAGTCACAGTGGTATTCCTGTGGTGCCAAGATGGGTATGTGTGATCCATCAATAGCACCTACACACTGTGGGAGCCCCCACCGGTTCTCAGTGTAGGCAGCCATTTCTGAAAACTTCTGCCGGTCTGGTGAACGAATTAGTTCCGGTACTAACAACGTCTCTGCAGCAGCACAGAAGTCTTGCACACACCGGCACACAGTGGTGTTGCTCACTCCGAAAATATGTCCAATGCTTCTGTACTCTGAGCCGGTCGCAAGCTTCCACAGTGCGATGGCCACTCTCTTCTTTAGAGGTATACACATGCGGAATGTTGTGTCCTGTCTCTCCATCGCTGGCCGCAGTTTGTTGCACAGGTAGGTGTATGTTTCCTCAGACATCCTGAAGTTATCCACCCACTGAGTGTGTGTGAAAGATGGAACAATCACAGACCACCACTCGGTAGCTCGGTCGAGCATCCAAACACATGGTCTGCGGCGACGTAACTTCTGAAATACACAAACAAAAGCATACATATTTTAATACGTAAAAGTGGTAGCTACAATTAATTAAATATTTGAAACACTTTGGTCGTATTGTGAGCCTAAACACATGGCTAGTTAGCGAACGTTAGCTTACCGAGTAGCGTTGTCGTCTAGTCCTGTTGTAGCCTCTGCAGCGTTGTAGGACTTCCAAAACTCTCTCGTCAGCTTCTTCTGCATCTCATCTTGCTATACGCAGCCTACTTTGAAACATCACTTTCCTGCTTGCTGTGATCACTTTCCTTCTTGCTGTGATAACAAGCCACACACCAAGAAACAAGTAAACGATGGCTTCCACATCCTCCATTGTTGTGTGTGTTTTGTGAGTTGTGTCGCATTTAAGATGACGCCACTGCAGTTTTACCCAGCGTCGCTCCGCCCAAAAAGCTAAACTGTAATGGAAATGCGCCACAGCCTCGGACGGCCAGCGAGGCAGCCCGAGGCCTGAGCGAGAACGCTTAGGGACGCTTAAACGGGGCTACCCCGCTGCAGTGGAAATGTGCCATAAGCCATCCTAGGTTGTCAAAGTGGGCAGGGGTGAGGTGGGTTCTAGTAGTAAGGTCAAGCAGTAGTCTGACCAGTTTGTTTTGTGATGTTTGTAATTTTGTTTTTAGCGCCTTTGAGGTGCTTTGGTACCATGAGGTGCAAGCATAGTCGTAGTACCCTTGAATGAGTGCTCCTGCCAGAGTCTTCAGGGTATTCTTGTTTACCAGAGAGGAGATCCGGTACAAGAATCTAGTTCGTTGGTTAACTTTTTTGATTACATTGGATGCCATTTTGTCACAGGAGAGATTTGCCTCTTGTATGGAACCTAGGTATGTAATTGAATCTTTCCTTGTGACAATATTTGTTGTGACTCGACAGATATGTTAGGTTTAGTTATGTTTTACTCTAGTTTTGTGTTTTGATCTTGTCACTTCCTGTTTTTATTTTGAAAGTAATCTTTCCTGTCATTCCAGATCCCACATTTCCTGCCTTTGTATGTTTTCCGCCCGTGATATTGCTTGGCCCTGCCCTGATTGTTTTCACCTGTGCCCATCCCCCTCACCTATATATAGCCCTTGTGTTTCTTTGTTCCTTTGTCAGTTTGTTATGTTTCATATCGTGAGCACCTAGGCCTTTTGAGTCCTGATACCTACCTTGCGATTTAGACCTTTTGCCAAGTGAGTTGTTGTGTTGCTGTACAACTTAGTTTTGGCTGTTTAACTACTTTCTATTTTTTGAAAAGTACGATTTAGTTTTTGTTATTAAAGAACATTCTATTTTTGGACAACTGTCTCCGAATCCTGCTTTTGGGTCCTGCGTCCTGTGTCTCGGTTCACAACAGTACGAACTGACCAAAATATGGACCCAGTGGATTCAGAGACAGTGAAGATAGCTCTGCGAGCTCAAGTAACGAGACTACACCAGCATGAGGAGCAGCTGGGCGCCATCAACCTGGGGGTGAGGGACCTGACCGGCCGTCAGGAAAATGTTCAAGCCTCCGTCAATACTCAGGTGAATGACCTTGCCGAACAGCTGCACCGTGTCCTCGCTCACCTGGAAGCTGGTTCATCCCCTCAGCCTCCTGCTGTTGCTCACACACCAATTGCTCCAGCTGACCATGTGCCACTCCATGCTCCACCACCTCGTCTGGCATCTCCAGAGCGATTCTCCGGAGATTCCGGTGACTGTCGCCCTTTCATTGTTCATTGTGATCTCTATTATAAATATAACCCTGCTGCATTCCCCACTGATCACTCTAAAGTGGCCTTCATGGTGAGCCACTTAACGGGGAGAGCAGCGGCCTGGGCAACGTCCGAATGGGCGAGAGATTCACCTACCTGTAATTCTCTGGATGTATTTACAGACACTCTCACCAAGGTGTTTAATCGCACGGCTCCTGGAAGGGAGGCAGCCAGAGCACTGATGCAGATTAAGCAGAGCCAGCGCAGAGTATCGGACAATGCCATTGAGTTCAGGATCTTTGCAGCAGATAGTGGCTGGAATTCTTCAGCACTGCTCGACGCCTTTTTGTCTGATCTTTCGGATTCCATTAAAGACCAGTTAATACCTTTGGACCTCCCAGAAGACTTGGATTCTGTCATTGCACTGGCAGTTCGAATAGACAATAGACTGGCCGAAAGACAAAAATAAAGGTTCAAGAATGTGGCACGTCTGCCTCGACACCAAGGGGACACACCAAGCCATCGTCCCGCCTGGAGACCTCCTGCCGATACTCCTTCTGAGAGAAGAGTGCTCCCTAGTGTCTCAGAGGAGCCCATGCAGTTGGGTCGGGCAAAGTTGACTCCGGAGGAACGTCTTCGGCGCATTCAGGAGGGCAGGTGTTTTTACTGTGGGGAGCAGGGGCACCTCCTGGCTTCTTGTACAGCAAAAGATCGGGCTCATCAGGGACGAGGAGGACCCTGGTGAGCCGACTGTCATCTGGATTCCCTCCTCGTACGTTGACACAGGTACAAGTAAAAGTAGACAGACATGTTTTAACTCAGGGGGTTCTCATAGACTCTGGTGCAGATGAAAGTTTAATGGATTGGGGGTTGGCCAAGAAGTGGAACTGTGGGGTAATTCCTTTGAAGCAACCGTTAAAGGCCTCTGCTCTGGATGGTCGGTTATTGTTTACCGTTACCCACTGTACTATGCCCATTGAAATAACCGTAAATGTAACACATACTGAACACATGACTTTCCATTTATTTGACTCTGGCTCAGCATCCACTTATTCTTGGTTACCCATGGTTAGTCAAGCACAACCCACACATAGACTGGAGATCTGGGAGAGTTAAGGGATGGGGAGAGGACTGCAAGCATTTCTGTTTGAGAGACAATAAGACTGGTGACAACACTCCCCATGCTAGAAGGATTGAGACCCAAGCTGTTGTTCAGATTGCATGTACAGAAATGA